TCTTAACACAATAATTAAGTAAATGAGTGAGAGAAATACTAACTGGTACAATGTAAGCATTCCAAATTGTATATGAAATCAGCACACTGTACCCCATAAATGTATTAATGTACACATGATCTACCTCTTTATGATTTAATAAGAAAAAAATCAAGTTTATTTTCCTTTACTTCAATTAATCAAGAAAGCAGTTTTTGTAGATGAGATGCTAGATTCCACAGTAACAATGATTGGCATCTTGTTACTAACCATATCAAGAAGGAATAATGAATTTTCAAAGGGAAGATGGAGAAGTCTCCATTTCTGTTGATAATATAAAAATACATAATTTACTATGAATGTGACCATAAGAATTTTAATGTATTTCCAACTTTCTAGGTAATTAATCTATTTTGTAAACAAGAAGTTATCATGTGTCTGCTAGCTGCCAGGTACTTTTCTAGCACTATAGAGGGACGGACAGACAAAGCGGATCTAAGCTAATCAAGAAAATATTTAAACATTATATTTAATAATTAGAAACATCTTACCATAATGTAGAGCTGTTTGACCTTCATTATCCTACAAAAGAAAAAAAATTCATTTTAGAAATTTAAATATGAAAATTTGCTGTTGAAATAGAAAATGCATCTGATATACCAAAATTCCACAGGTTTATCAGACCAGGAGAAGAAATCAGTTCCTTGAGCCTCATAGTAACTTTTGACAAGCTTATCTTCAAGAATGTTAGAATGATATCTTGTGCACTGTCGCAGGTGCAGTATAGTCACAGGATAACCAGATATCTGTGATAATAAACTAAAGGGAACCGCTTAAAATTGCAGTCCCCAACCCCTAGACCACAGACTGGTACCACACAGCAGGAACCGGGACCAGACAGCAGGTGAGCAGTGGGCAAAGGAGTCAAGTTCCATCTGTGTTTACAGATGCACACATCCCTTGCCTCACCACCTGAGCTCTCCCTCCTGTCAGATCAGCAGTGGTGTTAGATGCTCAAAGGAGCCAACTCTACTTAAACTGTGCGTGTGAGGGATTGAGGTCGCATGCTCCTTTTGAGCATCTAATGCCTGATGCTCTGAGGTGGAGCTGAGGTGGCGATGCTAGTGCTGGGGAGCAGGTGCAAAGACAGATTATCGTTAGCAGAGAGGTTGGACTGCACTGAGACCATAATAAATCAAGTGTTTACAGGCTCACATCAAAACCTTATCAGTGAGTGGCAAGTGACAATCAAGCTGACTCTGGTGGCAGGCTTTACAGTGGTAAGTGAGTTGATGTACTTCAACTGTACAGTTGCACCTGGTTGGTGGCAGGCCTCAAGTCAGAATCTGACACTTATTTAGCCCACATGTGGCCCACCCATTATTTTATTTATCACTTCCATCCTTGCCTCTTTCCTGCATGCACACCTGTCTCAGTCACAGTTTAGGTAAGCCCACAAACTAGCTCTAGCAAAAACGAGTAAAAAACAAACATCATTGGAGAGCACTGCTTTGGAAATGGGAAAGACCCAATGATGAGACAGCAGAAGATTCTAAGACTGCCCCCCCCCCCCAAAAAAAAGAAAGAAAAAAGGAAAAGGAAGCTGTATTTAAAAGAAAATACTGAGAACCTACTTAAACGATAGGTTTCTTGCAACAGGTGATTCACATCCTCCAAGCTCACTTTGTATTATTTTAGTGACTGGCTATCCAGTGAAGCCATAAAACCTTCAACACTGCTTCAGTGTAAGAACAAGCACTTGCATTAAAAGAAAAGCCTTTGGAGTTTTTCAAAAGAAAAAGACATAAACATGAAGAACAGAAGCCATTTCTGAAGGCCACCACTTCATTGAATGTGGCTCCACTGAGAGCACATTCTTAGTGGTTAACCACATTGCTAAGCTGATAAGGCCTTCACTATTGGTGAAGAGTTGATCCTACTTACTGCTAAGGACATTTTACTGTGAACTTTTAGGAGAGGCTGCAGTTCAAAAGGTGGCATATATTCCTTTTTGGCGGGCACCATAACCAGATGAATTGATGCAAGAGCAGAGGATGCTGAGGTACAGTTGTTAGAGAGGACTAATCAGTCACTGTGGTTTGAAATCCAGGTTGACAAGTCTACCAATGTTGATGACAAGTCATCAATGCTTTTTTTTTTTTTTTCCAGACAGTCTTACTACATCCCCCTTGGTAGAGTGTCGTGGCATCACAACTCACAGCAACTTCCAATACTTGGGCTTAAGTGATTCTCTTGCCTCTCCTCCCAGGTAGCTGGGACTACAGGCACCTGCCACAACACCTGGCTATTTTTTGGTTGTGGTTGTCGCTGATGTTTTAGCAGGCCTGGATGTGCCTGGTGCCCTACCTACTGAGCTATGGGTGCTGCTATCAATGCTTGTTTTATGTGATATATTTTCAGGAGGATGTGTGTGAGGATATATTATGTGCACTTTTGTTCCAACCAACACCATGGCTGCAGAACTATTTGAGTCTTCGAAGGACCAGAGACTAGGAAAACATTTTGCAGGATGTGATTAAAATTATCACCCATATTAAAGTACATGACCTTAATGCACATCATTCACATAGCTCTATAAGGAGATGGATGTGGAACATACATGTCTTGTCTTACACACAGAAGTGAGATGGCTTTCTAAAGGTGGATCACTGGCCAGAGAACCAGTGATTCTCTGGTTATGAGAACTGCTCCAGAGATTTCTTTTAGAAAAATAGTCACCACTGGCATATATGACATATCCAACCTTCTCAGCAAACTCAATCTGTCACTTCAGGGGAGAATGACAACTATGTTCAACTCATCAGATAAAGTGGCTGCATTAAAAGCCAAACTGGAGTATGAGTGTGACAAGTGAATAGTGTGAATGCTCCACTCAGAGACACAGATTGGTTGAATAGAGGAAAAATATTGTCTCCAGGAAACATATGTAAACAACAAGGGCTCATACAGACTCAAGGTGAAAGGGTGGTAAAAAATATTCTAGGCAAATGGAAACCAAAAGAAAGCAGGTGTAGCCATTCTCATATCAGATAAAATTGACTTTAAACCAATTTAAAGTAGGAAAGACAAAGATGGTCATTATATAAAGGTAAAGGGAGCAATTCAACAAGAAGACATAACAATACACCTAATACAGCAATGCCCAGATTCATAGCACCAACTCTACTAGATCTAAGCAAAGAGATAAACAGCAACATTGTAAGAGACAGGGACTTCAACACTCACTGACAGAAGTGGACAGATCATCCAAGCAGAAAACAAATAAACAGGCACTGGGCATAAAATTTTAGAACAAATGGGCCTATCACAACATTTTACCTCAAATCTAGTGAACTGCCATATGAAGTCTGACAATTAAGGCTGAGAACTTACCATCATGCACTTACACTGGCAACATTGTACAAACAACTTGGTAAGGTTTCATAACTTTAGTGTATACTAGTATCTCACAACTGTATTTGTGTCCATGTGGAGTGGTGTCTTGCTGAGTGGCGTTCATTATTGCTATAGTGTGTTTTTGTATGTCATGTGACAATAGCTCTGATGGTCATTTCAGTAAGAGTTCCAACATTCTTTGATGGGTGGAATAGGCATTGGCCTTGGTGCATAGCTTTCCAAGATGAGTACTTTGAAGTTGATGATAGTGATATGCAGCAATGAGCTATGCAGTAGTTTTTGTAGAATGAGCTCATGAACTTAACTGTCAGACCTTGTGTGTATGTCGGACCTCATGTGCATGTCACACCTTGTGTCTACACACATGAAGTCAAAAACATAGGGGAAATGAACAAATTCCGGGACACTCACATCCTCACAAGACTCAATCAGGAAGATACAAAACATCTCAGTAGACCAATAACAATCAACTAGATATTGAAGCAGTAATAAAAAAACTTCCAACAACAACAAAAAAGCCCCAGACAAGATGGATTCACAGCTCACAGCTGAATTTTACCAGATCTACAAAGAAGAGCTGATACTCATACTGTAGAAATTATTCCATTATATCAAGAAGGAGGGGATCCTTCCCAACTCATTCTACAAAGCCAGTATCACCTTAATATCAAAGCCAGGAAAGGGCACAATAAAAAAACCCCAAAACTACAGACCAATGTCCTGTATGAAAATAAATGCAAAAATCCTCAATAAAATACTAACTAGCAAACTGAATTCAATAGTACATCAAAAAAATAACCCTCCATGACCAAGTGAGCTTCATCCCAGGGACGGAAGAATGGTTCAATATATGTAAGTCAATAAATGTGACTGACCGCATAAACAGAAGCAAAACCAAAGACCATATGACTATCTCTATACGTGCAGAAAAAGCATTTGACTAAATGCATTGCCCTTTCATGATTAATACCTTCAACAAACCAGGCATAGAAGGAACACCTCTCAAGAGTATGAAAGCCATTTATGACAAACCCACAGCCAACATCATACTGAAAGTTGAAGAACTGGAAGAAGACAAGAATGCCCACTGCCAGCATTTCTATTTAACATAGCGCTAGAAGTCCTAGCCAAAGCAATCAAGGAAGAGAAAGAAATTAAGGGTATCTAAATTGGGAAACAGGTAAACAATCACTTTACACTAAAAATTGTATTAAAGGCAGCACCCATAGTTCAGTGGGTAGAATGCCAGCCATATACACTGAGGCTGGAGGGTTCAAGCCCAGCCTGTGCCAGCTGAAACAATGACAACTGCAAGAACAAAAAAAAAATAGCTGGGTGTTATGGCAGTTGCCTGTGGTCCCAGCTACCTGGGAGGCTGAGGCAAGGAAATTGCTTAAGTCCAAGAGTTGGAGGTTGCTGTGAGCTGTGACACGATGGCACTCTACCCAGGGCAGCAGCTTGAGACTCTGTCTCAAAAAACCAAATAAACAAATAAAAAATGCTGTATTAAAATTGCCATACTCAACATATATCAATAATAAAAGATGAATACAAGTCATATTTGAGCACCTCTTATAATTGCAGAAGTCAAACATGACTTATTACAACTTTAATACAGTTTTTTACCTTTCTTAAAATGTGCATATTTGGTACCCTCTGAGAGAGAGTGTGTGTGTGTACGGCTTTTAGTATAGAGAAGAACTCTTTTTCTGTACTATGACAATAAAACCTAACTTAAATAGATATGTAAATTGATAAGTAACTACTATAAACATGGCAAGCAAACAAATGAAAGGAAAATAATAAAAGGCAGCATCTACAGATTATCCCTTTTAAGGGTCACTGAGCAGATGCACATCTATATAAATACTCTCAAGAACAAGTTTGCTGGCTCAGTGCCTGTAGCTCAGCAGCTATGGCACCAACCACATACATCTGGGCTGGCAGGTTCAAACTTGGCCTGGGCTTGCCAAAAACAACAACAACTACAACAAAAAAATAGTCGGGCGCTGTAGTGGGTGCCTATAGTCCCAGCTGCTTGGGAGGTGGAGGCAAGAGAGTCACCTGAGCCTAACAGTTTGAGGTTGCTGTGAGCTGTGATGCCATGGCACTGTACCGAGGGTGACAGAGTAAGACTCTGTCTTTAAAAAAAAAAAAAGAACAAG